ATTCATTCCGCTGTAAGTTGTCTTTTCTAACCTTAGTTGTCAGCGTAATGTATCATAGAGCCACAGAAACCTTTCCACTTACCTAAGAAATGTCTGATAGAGTTTGTACAGAGTAGTTTGTACAATTCTGACTACATCATGGGGACGCGGTGGGCGAGCTGTCTAGGGCGCCAGACTAGTGATCCAGCGAGTTTGAGGTGCCGGGATCAAACCTACATGTGTCAAAACCTTGGAGTCAACTTTGTGTGCATACTCTTTCAGTGTTGTCACAACCCCTAGTGTACAGTACACAACCCTGTGCACCTAAAAGAACCCACGAATCCGTTTGGTAAATGACCACATGGTGGTCACACGAATACGCCAAAACACCTAGTTGCGGGTACAGCAACGTGCAGTAACCCCTGAACAAAGTACCGTGGCTATATGTCCCAGTCCACCCAGCTGAGGTGAATTGGTACCTCAAAAGGATGAGAAAGCCATATTAACTCGGTTGAGATTGATAATACGATGTGCCGTTTGAGATTGATATCCAATGATCGATGATAAATCATAGCGCCTTTGAGCAGCTGATATTTGCGCGAAACAAATGTTAGTATAATAATGACTGACTGAGCATGTGTTTATGAATCAAATAGTGACGATACCACGTGTTTAGTGAGGAAAGCCTGAAGTGATGCAGATAATTTATTTTATCTTCAACTGTCTATAAACGAAATCCCGGGTTTCTTCTACAAGGTTACCAAATACACCTTCCACAAATGTATTAAAAGCAGAAGACCTATGAAATCTACGCTAGCCTACCGGCCCGAGGCCGCTAACTTGCGCCAGGGACGAGTAGTGAACGTAGTCCTCAATGGACAGTAACATTTCAGGACTATAACTGCGAAACTGTGCCATCATTTGGAAAATGGTTAAAACTGTCAGGAAATGGAAACCTGGATTGTGATGTTATGTGATCATTATGAGGTGACAATCTCTCTAAAGTGTTCCTTAGAAACATTTCCTTCACACAATTACGTCCGAGAGCATATCTTGTAACAAAAGGCATCCGGTGTATTTCCGGCTTTAAACTTTCCATCCATGCCCACACGATTATCGCTTCATTAGAATAACAGTGAAGTAGGTTTTCTACTAGTCCTTTGAAGAAACTGAATTTCTGATGTCATGGAATACTGGGGACGAGGTGATTATATAATGATGAGCTAAATTATTAGTGTGTGATCATATCTAGCATGTTTATCACTGGTATCTGTGGTCCAGACTCAATTATTCACAGGTTATTGCTCTGTGGCTGGACCATTGGTGGGTGTAGCGTGAAACAGATCTCAATAACTGTTTGTCCGAATCTATCTTCATGATTTACAGCGTGTGAAGACTGACGGTAAACTGGACATTCGATTCATCAGTTACTGGTCAGATGGCAGGGAAAGCCGTGGATACTGTTGTGACAGTGGGGGTACGATGTGGTGCACTGATAAGTGTGATCCAATGTTTACCCTGTGTATTGATGGGTAGGTACAATTAAAACGTTTATTGAGAAAACACACGAGTCCAGTATATGAGTTCCTGACAGTTTTGTATTTGTAGGCTAGTAAATCTCGTTTAAATATATGACTTGTGTCCCTGTTGGTTATTTTAATGTTTCCTCTTAATTCTTACGTGTAAAGAATTTGTATACATTGTATTTCCTTTGATATTTTTGAATATATGCGCGTATTAGTAATACAGGTAATATTTCCAAAATCGCCTTCGCTGTGCTTGTCACGTGTTCCTGTATTTGAAAACTTTAGTGTGCCATTTGATGTGCACATTTGGAGTAATTTATGAAGAGAAAGAACTCCGGCCTTCAATACTTCATTGGTTCACAGGTCATTCAAGCTACATATGCAGGGGGACAAACTTGTGTGCTTTCAATGTGGCGCTTTATTACCTGTAGATTTAATGCTATAATATTATAAGCCGATGTTATTTCAGCCCTGACAGAAGACGGCCGTGCTCTGTTTACAAGAACACCACAAATTACATAGACAACCACGACATAATCCACTTTGGAGGCAGCATTCAAGGAACACCAAATCCTTTCACCGTACACATAAGTAACGCCATACCGGTAGGATTGTTCACTCAATCTTTATTTGACACAGTGGGTATATGTCAGATTAGATGATAAATCTTATCTGTGCAGGTCCGGTTTAGACTATTAATCTTCAGTAACCCATGCCTGTCGTAAGAGGCGACTAACAGAATCGGGTGGTCAGGCTCGCTGACTTGGTTGACACATGTCATCGGTTCCCAATTGCGCAGATCGATGCTCATACTGTTGATCACTGGATTGTCTGGTCCAGACTCGATTATTTACACACCGCTGCCATATAGCTGGAACATTGCTGATTGCGGCGTAACACTAAACTCACTCACTCACTCAGATAATAAATCTTCAAAACCTCTTACATGAAACCTTAACTGTCCTTACAAGTGTTGATCAGGAAATTAACAATCTGATTTTTATGTCATGAAGTATGGCTTAGTATGCCATCAGGTCATTGCAACCTCGTCCCTTTTTCTGCTCCAGCCTCTAATATTTTGAAGTTGACTTAAAAACACCCATATACAAAGTTTATCAGTATGTGTGTCTTGTTATTATCGATTCAGCTACACTAAACTGAACAGATGGCATACATTTTATTTCATCCAGTCCCCGATAGAAATAAAGGTGGATGTGTATGACAATGATGACACCTCCGGGGATGACCACATGGACACACTCTCTAAGCTGATCAACATCCAAGCCGCTGCTACACAACAGAAAGCTGTGTACACCCCATACACATTGTTGGGAAGGACGACGTGAGTCAGACTAAGACATATCTGCGATGATAACAGGGAGTTGGGTTGAGAGGCTAGAACAAAACAAGATGGAATATTCTTTCATACTGTTTATTCATAAATGCTTCAAAATAACGAGTTTGCTACACGAACATCAAAACAATTTGTTGTGAATGATCATCGGTCTCGCACCAAGATAATGTCAACTGGCCTGATGCACGTAAACATCACAGCAAAATCCCAGCTTTGTGGCGGCTGTCTGTAAATTATCGAGTGTGGATCAGACAATCAAGTGATCAACATGCATATGAGCATCGTTCAACACAACTGAGATACGATGGCTTGTGTCAACCAAGTCAGCGAGTCTGTCCACCCGATCCCGTTAGTCGCCTCTTAAGTGAAAAATGTAGAGTGAACTATTTTCCAGGTTTAAGATTGTAGTCCGAGCCTTTTGCGACCCGGACTGGTACGGATCTACGTGTGAGAAATATTGCAAGGACACTCCTGACCACGGTTACTACACCTGCCACCCACATACAGGAGCTAAAATGTGCTTTGAAGGTATGCTCAGAAAGCTGGTGTGAGCGTTGATGTGAACTGTTATTTAGACCTTAAGAAGTTCCAGAAAGACCAATTTATGTATATCATCCCTTTTTGGGGACTGGTACTTCACAAAAGCATTTTCTTCTCCTATTGTTGAAGATAGAAACTTGCAGTATCGATGCGAATGAAGCTGAGTAAATTGTTTAGTGATGAACCATTCACATTACTTGTAGAGTTTAAGTTCTTTAAGCATGGTCACTTCCAGTGGCAGGGCAGGTCCCCTGCCAATTCGGCGAGGGTGAGGTAAGATGATTTATAATTGGTCCCTATTTTAACTATGTAAGTTCATTAGAATGTGTTAAAACTTACGTTGTTCAAAGAGAAAAAAAGAAAGAAAATAGTTTGCATTTTTTCCATACTCAATTTTCCGCAAATTATCTAATTTAAGTTCTCTCATCTGCATTTCGCCCCATTTTTGGGACGCACTTTTGCAGTGTAAAAAAAGTATGGATAAAATTATTTACTGGTAAATGACACTTCATTCCTTTCATTGCTTATGAAAAGAAATCAGCTCACAAAATCTGATGAAAATCTAAGACCCTATGCATATATGGGTTAATTGACCAAAGTTGTTAGAATGGATGCCTAGAATGGATTACTTAAATCTTCTGGTTAACCTTGTATCCACCATTGTCATTTGAGATGTCGACCAGACAGAAATACAAGTGCTCTGTCGAGTTTTACTGTGCCATAGACTAAATTTCCTACTTATAACAAAGGTTTGTGTCATGTGTTGTAAAACTGTTGGCAAACAACACAGGAACCCGGTTATCCAGACGTCCCTATTTAAAGTGTTAAAGTGATTGTTGAGTCACTTTTAAGGATGATACCCATTTGCATATTTAGACGTTCATCTGACAGTGATCATCCAGCGGGATATCGGAACTGTCGGTGTGGATTAATAGGATTTCAGTGAAACATTTTGCTGATTACTGCACTAATTTTAATCAATTTCATTAATAACTTTGCAGGTTGGAAGGGAAACAACTGCAACCAGGACATCGATGAATGCACAGAAAGTGACGACATTTGTCAAAATGGGGGAAGTTGTACAAATACACCCGGAAGTTTCGAGTGCAATTGTGTGGCTGGGATCAAAGGTAAGTAGACTGTATCTGTCGTCATTGCGCTGACAGATTCACAAAAATAAAAGGACACATACAATACATTGTGCACTAGTATGGCTATGAATAAATCGTTCCAAAATATTTGTTGGCTCATACGCACAAACTGTATTCCGCCGAATTATTTCCGTATATATTCAATTATTTTAAGACCACCCCCATTTTGAAAAGTATATTGACCAACCAATCAAGTGCGCACCAATCATATTGTGTACCTGCTTGAAACATCGGTTGTAGCTCCACCTCGGTAGAAGGGTTAGAAACCGTTAAATGAAACCCTACCCGATGGCAAGAAGTCTGTAACTTGTAAAACTAAATGTCCATTGATGCTTTTATTTGCAAGGTAATTCCTAAAATTTGTTTAGGAAAACTATGTGAAACCATCATCAACCAGTGTGCACTGAAACCATGTCTGAACGGAGGGACGTGTGACGGAAACGAATCGGACTTCAAGTGCGTATGCCCAGTTGAGTGGACTGGAGACACATGCGCAGATAAGGTTAACATCTGTGAGAGTTCCCCTTGTACCATGGGCCAGTGTACACCGGATCTCTTGACCGCAACTCGGTTCAAGTGTGACTGTGACTTTGCGTGGGTAGGAGAGAGATGCAGCCAAAGTGTTGGTGAGTGAAATAGAGTCTTATATACACTCAGCTTAAGTTCATGTATGTTTTATGCATCATCGTGTATCATAGTGTCTTAACCTTAGTACATGTAAGTATAGTACTAAATTGTGAAATCAGTAAGTAGCGACAGAAGATCATCGAACAGTAAACAAATTATACTGAACGACATACGATGACGTTTATGTTCATACAATGCAACAAAAGTGGTGAAAAATACCTGGTTGCATCAAATTGAACGTATGAGGCCATAATTAAGACTGACTGAGTTTGGTTTTACGCCGCTTTTAGCAATATTCCAGCAACATCACGGCGGGGGACACCAGAAATGGGCTTCACACATTGTGCCCATGTGGGGATTCGAACCCGGGTCTTCGGCGTGACGAGCCAACGCTTTAACCATTAGGCTACCCCCACCGCCACCCCATAATTAAGAAGTTACAGCAATCACGAATATTCAGTATTGTTCAAACTTGATCGTCTTGATTGAGGGGACCTACATGTTTCCTAGAGAGGGGGATCACCACACAGGTATTTCAGCAAAGACGTCAGCAGCTGGGATGGTGTTTCACCATAAACATCCAAGGGAGGCTACTATATGTCGATATCACGAGCAAACCCGATATTATATGAAAGCCTCAATCACTTTGACACTTAACGTCACCAGAATTCAGGTGAGAATATGCAATAAATGAAAACAAACCGCTGCTATTCCTTAAGACAACACAAAGTTCTTTCTTTCTTTCTGGATAAGCAGATGGGCTGTGGTATCCTGCCAGGGTATGAGTGAGTGAGTGAGTGAGTTAATATTTAACGTCACATCGGCAATATTTCAGCCATATCGTGACGAGAACATCCTGCCGGGGTATGGAGTCTGATGTATGCAGTGTGCTTTTTGATTGGCTTAAAAGATGTTGATCATTAATTTGAACTCATTTCATTTGACAAATTGACCAGTAAATACATTGTGAAATTTCATCCGTACTTGTAGTTGTCAATTTGTGATTTATTATATATGTATTCTAGGAAATCCTCATGTTCTTTGTATTCAGACACATTCAACATCACACTCCTGGGTGAGATTGATCATACAAATAGAGGTGACCTGGCTGTTGGCTTGAACAGACTCATCACCGAACTCGGGGGAATTCCAGGAAAGGGGTATGTCAAGTTTACAACGGATACACAGAGAGAAAGCAGGTAAGTGACAAGCAGAATGATGTTGACCAGTACATGGAAAGAGGGTTTTACAATGACTTTAATATTTAAATGTCCCGTCCTGCAGTTAAGGTAAAAATCATTACCAAGTTTGTGTGTCATGTACCTTTCAGTTATACTACTACGCCACGTACAACTCTACTCTGCTGTGGAAAACGGATCCTTTATAGACAGTGATTCATTAGCTAGAATCTTCGAATCCAACCCTGATGAAATCATCAATGAATATCTGCCTCTTCCGTTGTATCCTCCCCGAAAAGAAGAGAAGGCAACCTTGAAGGTGACCCCCACGGTGCCAACAGTGATGGCCGATGTCTTACTACTCGTACTTAGTTACAATACACTTAAATCTTGCAAGATGATGGCCTGATAACAATGTTCATCATATTAGCAGCTTAATGATGAAAGCCGTGTCTAAGACAATACTAAGACATGTACCATTTTGTAATCATTTGTTTAGTTTCTTCATTCAAATTTCGAGCTAGTGAATTATTTTGTGGGCTAGTTACTATCAGGCATAGCTAGCCCGACTGGCTAGCAAAATTTGGAAATTATTTCCCACACTCATAGTACCTAGTAAAACATTTGTTGCCTTCTCATGTTTATTGGATTTTTATGTGTGTGTAACTCTACACTCAGCAATATCTGGCGGTCTCTTGCCGTCGGGTCAATGATGAACGATGTCTGTATTTAGAGACGTTTGCTTGAAACTATTGTCATACCCTTTACGCATGTTTATTGGATTGTTTTTTGTCATTTGTCATCACCTCATTCAACCATAGTCCAGATATATGTCGACAGTCTCTAGCTGTGATGAACGTTGTCACATTTGCCAACAAGTAAAGGTTCCTTGGAGCTAATTGTTCTTAAATTAACCTTTAAAAGCACAGAACAATCTTATTCCCGCGTATGTATGGGAAAACATTTTAGGACGAGACGATTTCAGATTACAACAGGTCAATATGGGTGTGTTTCAGAGTCCACCTGGCAGCTGGGACATAAACCAATATGTGTCGGCCATTCTACCTCCTGTAGGACTTGTCCTGATGTCTGTACTGCTTCTGGTGGCTTTCTTCATCTTGAGAAGATCGTAAGTGGTACATGACATACTCACTGATTAACATACTACCATGTATTGGGAGAGGAATCAGAGACGACAGCCACTCTGAAGAACGTACATTCTGGCAATCGGACTAAATACTTTTCCTCAAGGCATACACTATGACCCGACTACTTGAACTGGAATTGCTTTGAAATATACACACTGTTCGAGAAATGATTAGGAAAATATATTTTAACATCATACTTTTGCATACAAAGCTGGAGATGCTGCATCTTTTTTACCCCACTTGTACATTGTTCAGTACCTTTTAGAGAAATAATGGTAATGTTTCAAGGCATTGACTAAAACAAACTCACAAACTTCCCAGCCCCCATCAACCATAACAAGGGACATCTGAATGTGAATCTATGTATCGAGCACAATTTTAGTAACATGAATATATTTTTTATCTGGCATAGAACATGATTACACAGGAAGTGAACATTCAATTTATAACATTGACTATTTACACACATGTACCTATAAACAGTTTCAAGTCGAAACAGTAAGCTGCTAAATCCAACTTCAGACATCTTAATGATCAGTTGCAATATACTAGGAGTTTGTTTGGATATTTAGCCTTTACGTCAACAATCATTATATTTCTTATTTCCAGGAACAAGACGGAACACTGTAGAGACGACAATCAGCTTGACTTATTTCTGATAGACGTGCCATGCAATAGAAACCTCCAACCACCGGGTGCAGGAAATCTCCAGGAGGCAAGTGTATCTCCAGATGGTTACACAAGTCTTCCCTTCCTAGGATCACCCGACACACACTGTGATGAGACATCGAACATCATCAATCTAGCAGTTAAAGATATTACCCTTGAGCCAGAGAGTCTTGAGGGTTTTGGTCTTTATCCAGATGACACCGCACGTCTTGGTGACGCTGCAAGTAAAGCACACCGTGATGACATATCAAACATTCACCTCACAACTGAAGATATGAACCTTGACCCAGTAATTATACATTGCTTCGGCGTTTCTCCAAATGACAACGGACGTCTTGGTGACGTGACCCTTGACCCAGTAATGCTGCAAGATGCAAGAAGTTCTCCACATGACAACACACGTCATTCTGACGTGGCAACACTCCATGACGTACAGGTAGCAACACTGAACACACACTGTGATGAGGCATCAAACGCCATCCCAACAACTGAAATTGGGAGCCTTGACTCTGTGAGACCAAGCGGATATCCGGATGGCCACACACGTCTTGGTGACTTTGGAACACACGATACAATCCGTCATGTTACGTTATACATCCAACCAGTCCCTGGAGACATGACCCTTGGCCCGGGGAATCTAGAGGAAGAGGAAGACAATGCAGAGTACACTGTCATCGATGTCAACTATGTGGAGGACCCCCTACAGGAAGACCCTTATGAAACGATAGACTCTGTCGATGACAAAGATGATGGGAACATCTCACAGACAAACCCTTATGAAAAGATAAATGTGTAGTTGCCTTGGACGATGTATTAGTTAACCAATAAGAACAATGAAGGAAAATCTCATAATTATTTGGTATTAGAACATTGGAACTCTGTTTTCGATCATGATATCAACTGGAAAGATGCCTTTGTTTGTTATAGAAAATGTACAAATGATTGCAAGCTATTAGACTTTCAGTACAGATTTATTAACAGAGTAATATACACAAAAAAAGAATTACTGAAAATGAGGTTAGTTGATGATGATCTATGCTCTTTTTGTAAAACAGACTCCGAAAATATTTTACATGTCTTCTATGAATGTTAGATTGTTTTCAACTTCTGGCAGCAAGTTGAGTATTTCATTAATAGCTATTTTGAAAGTAATCTAAAAATAACAAAACACTGTGTAATGTTTGGGGTTGGCTCAAACACTCACACAATTAATCATATCTTACTCATAACCAAAAGATTTATCTACATCTCAAGTCTTCAACAGCTTTCCCCATCATTTGACAGATTTGTCTCATCAATAAAGGACCTTTGTAAAATTGAACAATTCATAGCAAGAAAAAATAACAGATACAGTGAAATGGAAGGAACTGCCTGAACTATTCTTTGAAGTGCCATAAAATAATCAATCACAGTGTTGTCAGCTATCACTTTAATTTTATATGGTGTCATTGTGAATTATATATAATATAAATGAAGTAATCTATTAACACTAGTACGTATCCATTACTCCTATCCATGACCGAATTATTGATCACTGAAATGTTTATCGTCCATATATCATGTTAGCCTTATATATGCATGTATGAAATGGAATAAAAAAAACCAAGAAGAACAAAAACAAAACAAAACCAATAATAACAATGAAAGGAAAATCTCATAATTATTTGCTATAGGTAATGCAAGATGTAGATGGATGTCTGCTATAAGGACCGATTTGGGATCGGTATATCAACAGCAAACCAGTATTGTCAGAATGAGATCATAGTTTAATGGTTCAAGTTTCTCTTGCACGCAGGGTAACTGGGTTCAAATTCCACGATGAACGCGTTATGTACATTATATGTAGGATTTTGTGCACGTGATCCAGTGATGGTTGGATGCCAAAGAGTTAACTCCAGGATCATATGTTGTGTAACCTGGAATTTGATAGCTTGTGGTGAATCTTTGTTAATTCCCCACATGGGCACAATGTGTGAAGCCCATGAATGGTGTCCAACGACCTAGATATAAATGGGCAAGTGTTAAGAATATCACCTAAATTACATAGATATGAATCTCAGATAATATTGTCTTTACTGATACAGATGGACATGAAGACCAGTTTATAAATATGCATTATTACATTATGTACATATTGTATTAGCTTATGGAGGCTTGACGTTGCCATTGTAGACTAGCAGCCATTTCAATTTTGCAAATAAAATAATCTTGAAGCTATAAATATTCACTTTCATTAACGAGAATGGTTTCACTCCGCTTATCGACTGCTTTTGGGTATAAAATTGGCACATGGGTTTGATGATAACATATCTGTTCGGGAGTGGACCATCACGCCTGATGTGTTCAAATGGTTGCTGTGACGAGATGCTGGCGGGTGATGCCTTTAAAGAGGTCGGGCGTCCATATCGAAATTTTCATTTTACAGCCAACGTCACTAATGCCACCCAATAAATGCACGAGGTTTTCGATGCATGCTACACATGAGTCAACCAGTGCTTGTCCCAACTAGCAATGAGAGCAGGCCCAAATTCACTGAGAGTGATGGGCGTCTTTTAATTTCACGTACACGTCTGCTAATGACATCAGGATTGAGTGCTCAGGGCCACGGCATGAGTGAATCAGCGAGCTGGCTATCCATGTATTAGGATTAAGGCACTATGAGTGAGTGAGTGAGTATGGGTTTTCGCTGCTTTTAGCAATATTCCACCAATTTCTCGGTGGGGGAAACCAGCAAAGGGATTCACACATTTTACCCATGTCGGGAATAGAAGCCGGGATCTTCAGCGTGACGAGAGAATACTTAAACGACAAGGCAACCCCGCCACCTCCATGGCATGAAATAGATGTCTTGCTTTCGGAAGATTATGCCACAATCATGACACAGTGGTCACGTGTGTTCTTATGTGAAAGATAAAACATTGCCAAAATCGTTGTGAAAGTCTTACCACGAGAGGTGCAATGATCTTGCCCCGATAGTATTTACCAACTTATAATATAGAGCGCGGTTTGACCAGTGTTATACGAACCCATACCATTATGAGCCCACTCAAACACGATGATATTGTACGACTTTGACGTCCAGAAGACGTTCAGTAGGACGTAATTAGCCTCGATTCATTCGGTCAAGGAAATGGAGAGTGAACCTCGATTTCTCAGAAGAATCACTGATCAGTCTTTGACAGTAGTGACATTTACCATACCACCGATGCCTCTGATTCCAATGATATGATGTGAGTTGTGGTATGACACCATGCACTCTGATGCCATCCTTGCAGGCGAGTTTGCAGTGATGTACTCTAGCAATTGTTATCTGTTGCAAGTGGTCCCTTATCTGAGGGGCATTTTGTACCGATTGCCTCAAGCCATCAATCTGACTAATCCATGTGGACCTGGAGTTATTGCCCTTGGACGTCCACAGCGTAGTTGATCTTCATGCTTATGTGTTT